CTGGAATGTTCAATAAAAATGCATGACAAGGCTTAAGAGTGCTTCAATGGCTCTGCCCAGAGGTTCTTTTCACCCAGTGAAGCAGCAGATAGAAACTGAAAAGACAGCAAACAAACAGGACAGGAGAGGTCCTGTGTGAACTGAGCCGCCCCCTTCTTTCCACATTCTTTATAATGTACACCAACAGTGCTTTCAGTGGGTGCTTCTCTTGTGGAGCTGCTCATTAGTGGACTGTGAAGTGCATTTTTTTATATCCATAGGTTGCCTTCCAACCAATTAAGTTGAAAATGTGTGTGTGTGTGTGTGTGTGTGTGTGTGTGTGTGTGTATGTGTGTGTGTGTTTTCTCTAACTTCATGATAAATCACTGGGCACTGTCCTGAAGAGTCTTCAGGGCATTGAGATAGATTTTTTTTTTAAATTTTGAACTGTAAGGAAATCTGGTTTAAAGTGAAACCTAACGGCTTCAAATTGCTGTGTTGCTCATTAGCAAAGCTCCTGCTTTTGGAACTGGTGCTTAGACTTTCCTTCAGGGAGGCTCATGCTGCAAGGTCCGCAGTTTCTGCTTTTAGACACTGGTTACGAAGAATATTAGAAGAGACAAAAAAATAGGTCTGTCACTTTGTTTCAAATCATTCAGCTTCTGACATAAGCAGGCCTTTCTCAGGCATGAAAAGAAGGCTTGAATGATTCATGGGATCCGTCCCACACATTAAAAATGAAGGGATGGAGGGAATGTCGAACAAAATGATTCATTTATTTGCAGCACATAAATACAAATTCTTTCGGGGAAATACACACTCTGTGTGTGTGTGTGTGTGTGTGTGTGTGTGTGTGTGTGTGTGTGTGTGTGTATACATTAATGTATGTGTGCATGCAAGATAATGCAAGTGCTTTCTTTAAATCAATATTCGTGGCAGGTATGGTGGTGCGTGCCTATAATCCCAGCACTTGAGGCAAAGGCAGGAGGAACACCAGCCTTTGGAGCAAGACCAACATCATCTACATAGCGAGTTCAAGGCCAGCTAGATAGCAAGACTATGTCTCAGATCCTGCAAACCAACCAGCCAATAAACAAAAAATAAATATGTTGGATTTGATTTAGTATCACATCATTTGTTTCAGACAATTTGTTTGAATCTTATGTATCTATTTTTCTTTAAAATATTTCATTTGGGGGCTGGAGAGATGGCTTAGTGGTTAAGAGTACTGATTACTCTTCCTTCTTCTGGCCACCAAGGACATCAGGCACACTTAGACATGCATGCAGGCAAAACATCAATACACATAAAGTAAAATAAAATAAAATAAAGTATTTCCTTTGGGATTGCATTGACATAACACCCGTATGACTGAAAGTGTGTCTTAGTACCTGCTACTGTGCAAGATCACCATAGACTGGGTGATTGACATGAACATCTCTCTCTCTCTCTCTCTCTCTCTCTCTCTCTCTCTCTCTCTCTCTCTCTCTGAGACAGGATCTCTCTACTATATAGCCCTGGCTGTCCTGGATCTCACTCTGTAGACCAGGCTGACCTCGAACTCACAGAGATCCACCTGCCTCTGCCTCCAGAGTGCTGGGATTAAAGGCGTGCGCTACCATGCTCAGCTTAAATGTGTTCTTTTTTTTTTTTTTTTAACTTTTTATTGATTCTTTGTGGATTTTACATCATGCATCCTGATCCCTCTCATTTCCCTGTCCCCTCATTTCTGGCCTCTGCCCTTGAAACCTGCCCCCAGAACAAAACAAAATTTAAAAGTGAAAACAAAAATAAACAAACAAAAATCTCATCTTGGAAGCTGTAGTGTGGCCCAGTGGGTCACACAATATACCTTTTAATCCATACATCTTTACTTGTAAGTGTTCATTGCAATGAGTCACTGCTCTGGCTTAAGGCCTCTGGTTTCTGCTACACTATTGATGCTGGGCCCTCACTGGGGCTCCTCTTGGACATCCTATCATTGTATTATGTCCTGGAGATCCTGCTGTTTTGGATCTGCAGGTCTGGCTCCTTCACATGCTCGGACAGTTCATAGTTTCAGTGGATGTTGGGTTGGGCCAACTCATGGCCCTGGTTCTGGGCCTGGGTTTCAGCTGGCCAGCTTTCCCTCATTTTCATCACCAGGGTGAGCTCTCCAGCACTGTGTTGGCTAGCTCACCTGATGCAGCAGACAGTAAGGAGTGGGGACGGCAATTCTCCTGTTCTCACACCCTCTGGTCCAGCTCACCCACACCCACACCACTAGGGCCAGCTCTACTGTTTTGCCCAGGCAAGGTGCATGTCCCACTATCTCTATTGCTGTAGTTGGTGAGGGGCAGGGCCATTCTCCTGCTCTCATGCCTACAGGACCAGCTCACCTGTGCCCCTGACAACAGAGTCAGCTCTAGTGTGCTCTCCAGGTGAGGTACAGGGCCTGCTCTCCTGTGTGCTGCAGCTGCTGAGGGTCAGGGCCAGCTCTCCTGCTCTTGTGACTCTCGACCAGCATTCCTGACTGCTGCAGGATGGGGAGGAGGGGCGCATCTTTTCCTTACCCATCCCACTCCATGACAGATGAAGGGAGCAGGATCAGCTCTCCTGCTCTCATGCCCTCCAGGCCAGCTCACCTGTGCCCCTGCCAGCAGGAGCAGCTCTATTGTGCTGCCCAGGTGAGGTGCAAGACCTGCTGTCTTGAGTGCTGCTGCCAGTGAGGGGCAGGGCCAGTTCTCCTAGTCTCATGACCTCAGGGCCAGCTCTCCCACCTGTCAGGGCCTGCTCTTCTAAGTGCTGAAGCCAGTGAGAGGCAGGGGCAGCTCTCCCACTTTCATGATCCCGGAACCAGCTTTTCCCACCTGCAGTAGGTGGCAAGGGATGAGAGGTGAGAGGGGTATCTCACTGTCATGCCGTTTTGTGACAGAGGGGCTAGCTCTCCCATTCTCATGCCTTCAGGACTGGCTCACCTGCACACACACACACACACACACACACACACACACACACACACACACACTGCTAACAGGGACAACTCTTCTGTGATGCTCATAGGATCTGGGCCATAGGTGTTGGCCCAGATCCTGGGCCTCCATGTGGCCTTTGATGGCAACACAGGCCACAGACATCAGCACAAGCTGCAGTAGGACCAGAGACCCAGACATGGTCCTTGACATACATGGCCCCAGCAGTGACTTGAAGACCTCAGGTGTCGGCCTAGACTGCTGGCCTCTGCATGGACCTCCATAGCAACAGGAGCCAGGGACATCAGTTCAGAGCCCAGCCACAGCAGGGCCACAGATCCAGACATGTCCCCTGGCAGTAGTCCAGCCAGAAGTCACCATGGTCTCGAGTGGCAATGTAGGCCTCTTACATCAACATGGCCCCTGTGGGGGGCACATCCCTCGGACACTGACTTGGTCACAGGTGGTGACCTAGACTCCAGGTGTCCAGAGGGCCCTTGGTGGTAGAACAGGAGCCACAGACATCAACACAGACCCCCATGGCTACATCAGGGCCACAGACCAAGACATGCCCCTTGGCAGCAGCCCAGGCCTGGACATAACCATGGCCCCAGGTGGCAAGCAGACCATCTATGTTAGGCTGTTTCTCACTGCCCTTGCCTCTTCAGATCTGCCTCTCTTCCCAGCACATGAATCATTCTCTCTCTCTCTCTCTCTCTCTCTCTCTCTCTCTCTCTCTCTCTCTCTCCCTCTCTCTCCCATTTCCCCACCCTGTACTCAGTCACCATAATGGTGTCCAACTGCTCAGTGCCAGAGGCCAGGCTTGAGTCTGGCCTCCGAAGGCTAAGATTGGTTGATCCTGCCTTCCCTAGGCCTCTTGACCTAGGGGTGGGGTGCTGTGGCTGTCTGAGCAGCTTGTGCATGGTTGATTTTGTTCTCCCCAGGCCAAGAGGCCCGAGGGAAAAATATGTTCTTAATTGAAGTAGAATTACATCACTTTCCCATCTCTCTTTTCTCCCAGCACCTCCCTGATATCCTCCTTTGAATCCCTCCCATGACTCCTCATTCTCAAGTTGATAGCCTGTTTGGGGAGAGGCTGATTTTTCTTCTCACAGCAGTTATTAGTTGCCTATAGCTCTTTATCTAGGTGTGGGACCCCACAAAATTTCCCCCTGTGCATGTTAACGTGTCCATTGATATTGCCATTAGATTGTAAGAGCCAGAATACCAGAGTCTGCTGTGAGACAGTCTCTCCCAGAAATGGCTGCACAAACATTGATTTCTTCTAGGGCTGGAGGCTGAGAAGTCCAAGATGGGGGTCAGCAGGTATGGGGAGGGCTCACGCTCTGAATTGCAGACAATTATCTCCTTGTATCCTCACAGGAACATAGGGGGAACTAGCTCTCTTCTGTTTTTTCTCTTTAAAAAAGGATTTTCCACATTTATTTCTTCACTAATTGTGTGTGTATGCACATGGCACAACTCATGTATGGAGGTCAGAGTACAACTTGGGGGAGTCAGTTCTCTTTTTCTACCATGTGGGTCCCAGGTATCCACTCAGGTTGTCAGGCTTGCCTGCTCCTGTCTGTTCTTTAAAGGACACTAGTCCCTGTACAAAGGTCTGGTCCTCATGACCTCATCTAAATCTAACTATCTCCCACAGGGTCCACCTCTGAAGACCATCTCAGTGGGAATTAGAATTTCAACTGGTGAATCTTAGGGAGAACACAAACATCCAGTTCATAGAGTAGTTACACAACTGATACAGCCATTTACAGTTTTCCATGATACTTTTCTCTTTCAGTTCTCACAACATAGTCATCTAGGAATGAGGCTAATAAAGGGTGAACATTATTAATCCCCAAGTTCTAAATCTCAGATATCCTAAAATATGAAAAGTTTTGAGTATCAGCATGACACCACAAATTGAAAATTCTACATCTGACATCAGGTGACACTTCCTACTAAAAAGTCATTGTGATGGCTGGTCAGTCTTACCAACACCTCTGCACATGTCCGTGAGGGTTTTTCTACAGCTCATATACTGATGAAATTATTAAGGCCACTTCATGTAGTTAAAAGGAGATTTATTTAATGGCGTAACTTACAAATTAAGGGATAGGTAGGTCACGGGGTCTGGGGAAGGTGTATCACAGTCCAGCGGTGTTCTCTGGAGCTCTGCTTGGCCCACCTCCACCGAGCGCGCTGGCCGATCCAGATCTCGGGTCTCCAGGCGCCTCCCTTGGCCCTGCCTTTTAAGCGTGACAGTTGCCGAAGTCTCAATGGGGGTTGGAACTTCCAGATCAAAGCTGGAATGGCTACCCACTACACTCATAGATCCCATTGGCTCTAATCTAATCAATGGATTAAATCCCTTGATGGAGTCATAGTTTGATGACACTACTGGGAGGTGATGGAAGGAGGTGTAGGCCCCTTTTGGAGGAAGCAGGTCACTGGGAGCATGTCCTTGAGCATATAATGTGCCTAACTAACCCCTTCCTATCTTCTCTCTGGGTCCTGTCTGCCAGGATGTTACTGCTAGTATTCTGCCAAGCCCTCCTCCCCCATTATGGACTGTGATCCAAAAGAAGGAATTCCTCCTTTAAACTGGTATTTTTCACTGATTTGTCATGGTGACAATAAAAGTAGCTAACACATTTGTACATAATTTCCTCAGACTGTAGGCATTAAGTATAAGTGAAGCATACATGGCTTTCCTGGTTAGATGTGGGGCCTCTCTAAGACACATTGTTGTGTCCCTGTATAGATTCAAATTCCATAAAACTCTGGAATCAGAAAAACTTCTACTTGTAAACATTTTTTATCCCAAAAAAGTAAAAACAAGGAAGCTTTGTTTTATGAGTGAGGGATTTGCAAAACCCTGATAAGACAGAAACAGCAAAGACCACCAGCCCACAAAGAACAATGCTGATACTTTTTATTAATTATGAAAGCTCGGCCTATGCTCAGGCTTGTCCCACTAGCTCTTATAACTTAAATTAACCCATTTATTTTAATCTATGTTTTGTTATATGGCTTGTTACCTCATGTCTCTGTACTGCTCTTAATGCTTCCTCTGCATCTGGCTGGTGACTCTGCCTTCTTCTTCCCAGAGTTCTCTCTGCCCTGAAGTCCTGCCTACACCTCCTGCCTAGCTATTGGCCTTTCAGCTTTTTATTACACCAATCACAGCAATACACTTTCACACAGTGTACAAATATCTCCCAGACTTTTCAAATGTCTTCTTCCCTGTTTGAATTATTGCCAGCGAGCAAGAATAAGAATTCCAAAAATAATACCTGCCTGTTGTTAACATTTGTCCCAATGTGGCCAATATGCCTGAAAGAGACCACTCCCAGGGAAGAACAGTTCAGCTCTGAGTTTCAGGGGTTTTACTCCATTGTGGCAGGGAAGGCAGGGCAGAGCACATGAGTCTTGGTGGCCCAGAAGCACAGAGGAAGAGGCACTCAGGATGACATGTAGCTGCCAAGAACATTCTCCAGGGTTCTATTTATTCCTGCTAAGCTCCTAAAGTTTCCACAACTTCCCAAACAGTGCCATTAGCTGGGGACCAAGCATTCCGCATAACGAATTCAACATAGTTAAGCACTGAGCTCTCTAGCCCCTCTAAGTGGTCTTTAGTAGATAGACTTTCTTCACTGAATTATCTTAATACTTTTAAGAGAATCCTTAGGAGTTTTATTATTTATCAACACTGTTTCATAAATGAATGTAAATTTAATATTCCAAAAAGGTAGTTATGGCTCTCACCTCTGTAAGGGCCATTCCATATTCAAACCACAACATGGTACTGAAGCTTCCGAGATTCCTCGTCAGTAAGAAGGGTGGTTGAGCCCGACAAGTTGCTGGTTTGGGTTTGGTTTTTTCTTCAAGGTTGGTGTTGACAGAATAGTCCCAGCCCTACCTGCTTCTCCCCATTAGCATGCAGACCTAGTCAACACGAAGGTGACAGCTGTGTTCTGACAATTGGCAGCATTGCAACACTATTCTATAGTCTAAACTGAAACTCTGCCTAATGTGAACTGTTTAATGTAAGGCACCGCCGAACTCCAGCTCTGTAATATGTGAACATTCCAGATTAATTTAAAAGTTCCACAGAAGTGATGAATGGCCTAGAACCCAAAGTATTTTAATTTGTACTTACAGCCTTTATTATCATTTACAGGATAGACAGATCAAAGGTTAGTCAGATTTTATACACCTTAACATGACCTTCAATTAAAGGCTTTCATAGGTTAGCTGTGCCCTCCTGACACTTCTACTGATAGGAATAAGCAGCATTCGTGATTTAGATTCCATAGCTGGGTTAGGAGCTGTTCAGAGAACAGATGCCAAGAGGAGGCTCAGAAAGGGAGGTGGGACACTGGTCAAGCTCAGTGCAGGGAGATCTAACTAGAAGTAACTGGGATATCCCAGTTGCTAAGGAATGACTTGGAAGTCCAGAGGAGGTACTACTTGGAAAGCTAGGTGGTGGAATGGGGTAAGGGGATGGTGGCTATGAGCTAGTGATAGGATCCCATTACTGAACTGATGTCATGAACAAGACTGTTGCCCTAGACCTTCCTTGTTTTCTGTGGAGGTTGAGAGATTTGACAAGAGGACTACAAAGAGAAAGACTTGATGCTGTACAAGGCACAAAGACTCGGGCCCACAAGAGGAGGGCAGGGGTCTGATTCTCCAGGAGAATTGAGTGGACAAGAAATCCAGCCATTCAGGAGGTTTTGTTGCTTGGAATGTGGGGTTCCCTTTCATAGTTCCTAATCTTCTTAATAAAGAATTTTAAGGTGGACTCAAAAGTAATCTAGAGGGCCACTTGGTTAGAGTTCAGAGAGGAAAACAACAGAGCCCTGTCAATCTCAGCTGCTGCCGAGGGTGAAGATGAAGGGGAAGAGAGAAAGTCAGGTCTTTGTTGTGGACCAAGAGCACAGGTAGGTTCAGCACTGGGGGTCAGCAAGCAGCTGCATGGTGGAAGCGGGGAGGCTTCAGAAAAAGAGTGGAAATGTCCAGAGGATTGTGGAAAAAGACAATTCATTAAGAAAGAGAAAACACCCAAGAATAGGAGCGGGCTAGTTAGCTGAGGGGGGAAATAACCCTCAAAGCACAACAAATGTAAGACATTTATGTTTACAGAGCACTTACTGTTTTGTGATGAGGCTATTCATGGGGAGACATCAACAATCATCTACTCACCCCAGATATGGAACCAATGACAGACTGAAGTGACATGCCCCGGGGCTCCATGAACAACTTGCAGGCAGAACAACACGTGGGAGAGTTTTCCTCCTCAGACATGTACTGCTTATACAACCTTGAGGGGGACAGAGAGAGAGAGAGAAAGAGAGAGAGAGAGAGAGAGAGAGAGAGAGAGAGAGAGAGAGAGAGAGAGAGAGAGAGAGAGGCCTTGTGAGTCATGGATTTCCTGAAACTTGTGAGTTATTTACTTCCTGAGGTGTTTTGTTTGTTTGTTTGTTTGTTTTGAGACATGGCCTTACTGTGCAGCCCTGGCTAGCTTGGAACTCACTGTGTTAACCAGGCATTGAACTTGTTGTGATTCACCTGTCTCCGTGTGCTGGGATTAAAGACATGCCACGACAATCATATTTGTTCTCAGAAACTTCAATGGTGCCTGAGTCTGAAGGACATTATCATTTAAAAAAGGAAGTTTCCTTGCATGGCAGAGCATATCTGATAGCAATAAAACAATCTGACAAACATCGTATCTACTTAATAACAGGAGCTGTTTTCCTCGCTGGGTCCCCATCAGCCACAGGCTTTTGTCCTGGCTTATAGTACCAGACATGAATTCCCTCTTGTGCATCAGGACTTAAATCCAATCAAAATGCTGTTGCTTGTGCCCCCCCCAAAAACCTTGTGTCACCGCTGTACCCACAGTCACATATTGTTTACATCTTGATCGTGTGGCATGCAGGGTCCACAGCTGAGTAGGATGTTTAGCGCAATTCTTCTCCAGCAGCCTGCACAGTGTCTAGATTCTAGAGTTACAAAAACCAGTTCAGTCCCAGCCTGATTTCTACACTCACCTCTCTATTTGTATATATTTGTATTTGTCCTGAGAAAGGTAGCTGTATCGTTTTTGTCTAGTCTCTGCATAATGGGAAAATGCAGGGCTTGTCTCAAGTCCTTGCTTGAGTAGGCTGTGAGGCTGGATCACTCAGCTAGCCATCTCAAAATTGTCCTGAGCAGTTTGTAGTCCAAAACTGATCTTTGGGTGGTGTTTGTCAGCTTAGTGGTATTATCATCATCATGATTGAATCGTTGTTGTGGGGCTGCAACATCTGTTGGAGGCTGTTAGGCATGGTCATGGTTCACTGCAGAAAACTGATAGAGACTCAAACCCAAACTCATGTACAGGAAGCTAGATGAAGCCTTTTTTCTAGAATTAGTTAGTACTCTATGAGACCATTAACATCATGACAAAAGTTTAATATATTATTACTCTTATAAATTTTGATATAAAATTCATATCTTAAGAAAAGTTTTAAAGAGTCAAAATAGAACCAAAGAATTAGGAGATTAGTGACAACAAAATAGTCCCTTAATTTTGGTTTTTCTTCTGTCCCATGTCAGGTGGCTCTTCTGACATGATAAAGAGATTTTGCATTTTCTTTTAACAAGCATGCTTGGGTTTAGAGAAGGAGAGAGCCACACTCCAACTCCAAAGCCAGCTTTAATTTTAAATTGAACTGGGACTACATAAAGACCATTTGTGTTATATGTCTGTAGAGAACAGCAGAAACAAACATTTAAGAAGACTTTTGAAATTTTATCCTATAGATATGTATATGTAGATATACCAATAGGCCAATTTACTTTTTTTCTTGGGATGCTTTTCTGGATAATTTGTCCTTTTTCTTCAGATTTCTCATTTGTCCAGTGTTCTTCAGCTTTCTTAGCCTTCATTCTCCTGAAAGACAAAAACAAAAACCCTTCCCCAACCCTAACTTTGGGGAGGTTCCCTTTTGGCAAGTTATATCTGAGGAAATGAAAAAGATTTGTTAGTGGTATAAGTTAGTTTAAATTGAATGGTCATGTTGGTTGATGAACTATCACCTCTTCTAATTAAGAGGTCTCTCTTGTTTAAATCAAACCTTTTTCAGTTTTGATGGTATGCATAGCTTTTCTTCTCCTGTAGAAATAAAAGCAAAACTTTGTCCCCAATGTAATACATATCCTGGTTTCCATTCTGAGGTCAGTGCATCTTTAAAGTATACAGGCTGATTTAATTCTGTAGTTTTTTTCTATTATGCAATGTCTCTCCACAGCTGTTGTTCCTTTCCCATTAGTGTTGAGAAAATTCAAATTTAATAGAGCATTATGTAATCTCTTTCTGGTTTTTTTTTGTTATCCCTTTCTGTTTATTTAGCTTATCCATTAGAGTTTGATTTGACCTTTCTGTGACTGCTTGGCCTGTAGGATTATGTGGTATACCTGTAATATGCTTTATATTGCAATAAGCAAAAAACTGTTTCATTTTTCCAGAGACATACGCTGAAACATTGTCAGTTTTAATTTGTACAAGTATACCCACGATGGTCATAACTTCTAGCGAATGCATGATTACAGAATCAGAGAAGTTGTCCATTGAAATCCTAAATAGGTATCAATGGTGTGGTGTACATATTTCAATTTTCCAAATTCTACAAAATGAAACACATCCATTTGCCAGATTTCATTCCTCTGAGTACCCTTTGGGTTACATCCTGCTGGTACTGGAGTTTTATTTGTATAAAGAGCAAGTAGGACATTTCCTTGTGATTTCCTTGACTTGTTGCCAGGCTATAGAAAAATCCTTTTTTAAAATCCTTACTATTGACATGATGTTTTTAATGAAATTCTGAGGCCCCCAGCACATCTCCTATCAATAGTTGATTGATCTCATCATTTCCTTGTGCTAGAGGGCCAGGCAGACCTGTATGGAATCAGATATGTTATATATAAGGGATGATTCCTATTCCTGATTATTTCTTGTAACTAAATAAATAACAAAGTTAATTCTGATCCAGCAGGGATAAATTCAGCAGTTTCAATATGTAAGACCACTCTTTCAGCATACTGAGAGTTAGTAACTTTGTTGAGAGGTTCAAAAAAAATTCATCAGAATGGCATATAATCCCAATTTTTGGACAGAATTATAAGGACTTTGAACCACTTTGCCTAAATTTTCTGATTTGTAACATGCTTTTCCTTGTTTGTTTGAGTCTGTATAAAATGTACGGACTCCAGATATTAGTATTTCCTTTACAATGCAAGGCAGAATCTAGTTAGCTCTCCTTATAAATTTAATTCTATTGCTTTTGGATATTTGTTGTTAATCTTTTCCAAAAAAACTACTTCAGCTCTTTGCCAAAGTTCACTTTCTGCCCATAATTTGTCAATTTTATCATTAGTGAAAGGTACTACAACTTCTGCTGGGTCTATTCCTGCTAATTGATGAAGACTTATTGTTCCTTTTAAAATAAACTCAGAGATCTTTTCCACATAAGTTTTAAATTTTTCACTCTGTTTATTTGGTAGAAATATCCATTCCAATATAATATCTTCCTTCTGCATTAAAATTCCTGTAGGAGAATGCTTAGAGGGTGAAATAACCAAAATCCAATCAAGCTTTGGATCCACATGATCCACATGTGCATCCTGTATTTTCTTTTCCGCCAAAGCCAATTCTTTTTCAGCTTCAGCTGATAATTCTCTTGGATTATTTAAGTCCTTGTCACCCTCTAAGGTTTTGAACAAATTACTCAGTTCATCATTTTTTTACCCCAATAGGGGTCCATAGATTGGAAATGTCTCTGAATAATCTTTGAAAGTCATTAAGAGTCCATAATCGATATCTCCTAATTTGCACCTTTTGGGGTCTAATTTTTTTAGACCTATTTTATATTCTAAATAATTAATAGAATCTCCTCTTTGTATCTTTTCAGGAGCAATTTATAATCCCAAACAAGGCAAATTTTTCTTTACTTCTCTAAACATTTGACACTTTAAACAACTAAAGTATCAACATTTGAATCAGCTAGTAAAATGTTGTCAATGTAATGATAAATTATAAATTTAGGAAATTGTTTACATATTACTTCCAATGGCTGTCATACAAAATATTGGCACAAGGTTGAGCTATTTAACATTCCCTATTGGGAGTACCTTCCATTGATATCTCTTGACTGGCTAGGCATTATTATAAGTAGGTACCCTGAAGCCAAATTTTTGTCTTTTTCTTGTAAGGGTATTGAGAAGGAAGTCTTTTAAATCGATAACTATAAGAGGCCATCCTTTAGGTAACAGAGTAGGCAAACGAATTCCAGATTGTAGAGAGCCCATTGGCTGAATTTCCTTGTTAATAGCTGTTACCATTCTCTGCTTACCAGATTTTTTTTTTAATAACAAATACAGGAAAATTCCAAGGCCTGGTTGATTCTTCAATATGCTGAGCATTTAACTGCACTTGTACCAGCTATTCTAAGGCCTGTAGTTTCTCTTTTGTTAAAGGCCATTGCTGAACCCATACAGGCTTGTCTGTTAACCATTAAGCTAGGGCTGTTGGTGTCTTTGAAAGATCAACAGCTGTTGTGCCCTATTCTTGTACAATCTGGATGGTCAGTGACTGTTCTTTATAATACCTTCTAATATTTTTCTCAGAAACATGTGATAGTTTATGGTTTGTTTTTGAGATTGGAGGAATGTTAATCTGAGTATTTCATTGTTGTAATATATCATGTCCCTATGGATTCATAGCTATATTAACCACATATGGCTTTAATTTTCCTCTCTGTCATTCTGGCCCTATACATTCGGCCCATCTCATGCTCTGTTTCACTTGAGATGATGTTCCAATCCCTAAAAGCTGAACATTTACCTCCTGAAGATGCCAGTTTGGATGCCAAGATTCTGGTGCAATTATTGTTAGGTCTTCACCTGTGTCTATAAGACCTTCAAAGAGCATGTCATTTTTTTTTATTTTTAATTTTGGTCTTTGTTCATTTATAGAAGTTTGCCAACAAATTCACTTTATGGTTTCTCCTGATTTTTTTGTTCTTCAATAGCTGTTCTATTACCCCAAGCAGTATGTTTTTTTACAATAGGCATTAGGTTCTTCAATTGCTCTGAGAGGGGGTTTCTTCTATGATCACAGGAAAGAACTGAACTGAATTTGTCATGGGGGCTTGCAAGAGGCCCCTCAGGGAGTTTCCTGATGGCAAAGGCAAAGGATCCTTGTCTGTCCCTTGTTGATCTACATTCATTAGTCCAATTTTGCCTTTACCACACCTTCTGCATAATCCAGAAGGGAGG